AGCAGACATATAAATTGCATTGTTATATATTAAAATACCCTTTCGCTTATTTACCCTGTTTCCCTGAAAATAAGACATCCTCCGAAAATAAGATCTAGCTAATCTAAGTTCTGAGAATTTTCCCCAAACACAGATTCAAGGGATTCCATTCACGAGTAAAATAATCTGTGTGTGGGGCAGTTTCTCCGAACATAGATTTGCGGACACCATTCGCAAGAAAGTTAATCTATGTTCGGGAAAGTTTCCCCCGAATGTTGACCTGCTTTCTAGCACATGCTTGCTAAAGTTTTTTCCTGAAATAAGATATAACCCCCGAAAATAAGCCCCAGTGTATTTTTGGGGGGAAAGATTAATATAAGACCTGGTCTTATTTTCGGGGGAAAGACGGTAACACTAGCATTATTTAATTTGTCTCACACGTTGGAACAAATTGGGCTTAACACAATTTGGCCATATGGTGGAACTGAATCCATATATAGGTTTACAGAGATAGGTGATTTGAAGTAGCCTTATAAAATGTAAAAAATTGTTTTTATGTGTGTGCTGTTCCTTAATCTGTATTATGTATCAATTTTGGTTATTACAACGGCACCATTTCTGTGAAATGCATGTTTCAGGTTGCCCCCAATTCCTTTTTGTCTTTATTATGTTCAGCTCCTATTCTGCCTAAAAAATGTGCAACTTTCTCTTACGCATTGCCAGTGGATGTTATTGACATTCTTGTTATTGTTGGCATTGCAAGTAAAAAGAAAAAACAGGAAAAGAAAAGCAAACTGTGATCAGTGGGGACATGTCTAGATAGATCTACTAACAAAAGTCTCTTTTGCAGAAATTTCTACAGCAGAAAAAAACAAACATTACATAGTCAAACAGTCTTCTTGTTTCTTGATGCCTAAATTATAATATCAGAAAAAACAAAATGAATTTCCCAAAATATACAGAGGAATTAGCAAGATAAAGTTTATTTTAATCAAAATTTATACATTGAATCATGGGTAGACACTGGGCAGCCATTGAGGTTTAATCTTCTGCATACTTTCTTTTTTTTTTTTTTTATCTCTTTTTATTGAAAGTTTGTCAATTATTCCATATTGAGTAAGATAGGCGGAAACACGCAGGTTTCCATAGTACTGTACAATAATTGGACATTCGAGATGCGCAGATCTCTAACAGATTAGTATAATAAAATAACAGTATGAGACACACAGGTCTCTGAACAGCCTGATTGGCTAGCCAATATCATGAGAACATGAAAACATGTTATTTTGATATAGAAGAATATATAGGTAGGTCACTTAACTGATCAGGTCTGTCTGTTTGCAGTCACTGTGTGGTCCCCTAGTGGGACCTGCAGTCATATGTTGGTGTTCAAGTGGTGTGGACAGTTAGGTGTGGGCACAGTGGTCCGTCTCATGTTAGTATACTTGTCAGTGTTGTCAGGTTGAGACCATGTCAGCGTAGCAGTGGAGGATACTGTCGTCTCTTCGCTTCGTGTAGTTTGTCTGTCGGGTATTGTAGGGTCAGGTCGTGGCATGGGTGGCCGCTGCGAGGTGGTCTTGTATCTATGTCGAGGTTGCTGGGATCAAGTCTCCTATGTCTTCTCGTGTGTGGGCCTGTCGGTCGCTCTTGCATAGGGAATATGAGATTTGTTATAAATCTTTATGTGATTGAGACGTTATTTGATTCATTACAGAAAGGAAAGGTTTAGTTAATGCAATCGTATCTTACACAGTTTCATATATGACATAGTAACTCTCGAGCTGACTGTCTCATCATTGAATTCAAGTTAACAGGATTCTTTGCGAGGAATATCAAGTAATTCCATACATTGATGTACCTTAGCTGACAAGTGTATCGGCAGAGCATATAACTAAAAGTCAGGAAGCAAGGCTTACACAGTATAAAAATAGTGGAATGATAGGCTATGGAACATGTATGCTATGTGCTCTATGTGAAAGACCCTACTAACTGTGTAGGCTGACTCAATTACCGCCTCCTCCCTCCATTGCAGAGTGACAGTAAAGAGGAACCTTAGTCAGCTAGACCACTGCGGCTCGGTGGATCGGCCCGGATGCCAAGCCTCCTAGGTTTTCTTTTCTGAAAAACCCGTAGTTTTCGAGAGAGCATTATGGCAATAGGTCAATCGAGATGCGTAGATCTCCTGGGTAACAGCTCAATAAGAGACTCGCAGGTCTCTAGGCGAATTGGGTGTTGAACACGTAACATGAGGGTATTTTGTAGTGGTTTATAACACCCAGTGAGTTGTTCCTCCTTCGCAACCGGTCTATTTGCGGTCAGTGTGTATTCCTTTGTTTGGCCTGTAGTTATGAGTTGGTGGTCAGGTGGTGTGAACTGCTGGGTTTGGGCGGGTGTGGTTACCCCAATTAGTTGTTCTTGTGATTTTTGTTGGGATAGAGCTGCTCCCTATTATATATGAAGGGTGTTGGCAACACTTTGCTCTGCGTGTTTACGTCTGGAAGTGTGATGGCGAGTCACGGTGCGGGCTACCGCTGCGCGGCGGTGGTGTGTGTGCTTAAGGGTCTCAAATTTCGAGTCTCTAGGGACCTCTCTTGTGGTGGCCTCTCAGTCGCACATATTGGGGGTGGGGGGGGTCGTTTGTGCGTTCGTGGCGTGTGTATCCTCTAAATTTTGTGGAGCACTTGTGTTCCCTGGTTCCATGTGCGTTTTCGTAGGCTTGGGGTTTTGTTGCCCCGTATCCCGTCTGCATACTTTCTATGTCAACACCTGTGACTTTCTCTATTCAGATATGTAACATCCCCTTAAAACGCTGCATGCTTCTCCGTCGCCCCTGCCTAAGCCATCTTCAAGATAAACACACTGTCCTGTAAAAAGTTATTTGTGCACTTTATTCTAGTTTGCTTGATTGAAAAAAAGTTAATAAAACCAGATGAAAGCACAGCATTCAAAAAACAAGATTTGAAAACCAGAAACTCACTCCCAGCATGATACTGTTAGGAAATATTTATTAACTTACATTAAATTGTACTGACTGTTTTTTAAAAAAATATTTACAAATACAGTTCTATTAAAAAAACAACTTACCTACTCCATTGGGAACAAGCCTGGGGGTTGTCTTACTATCAGAATATTTTGATCCAAGATTCCCAGGGTCATTGCCTTCTACAGCAAGTCCTAGCTGCCACCAATGATCAAGAGTTTGACCTTTAGATGATAGTGTTTTAAGGTGATGTTTGCTTTGTTATTTTTGTTGTTGTTTTGTTTCTAAAACACACAAAAGCCATAGCACTTCCTGTTTGGGTATGCTGGTCTAGATTACAGATAAAAGGTTATAATTATATAGTTTCAGTTTTGAAAATAATGCAGTTTAACTCAGCAAAATCACCTGCCAATTGATAGAAGACATTTTTCATGGAAACCCTTATCGGGTAAAGTATAAAAGATAAGCATTCTATCTTAGAGTTCGTGTTCCAGAGTAATAAACTGCTCTGGAGAATCCGAACGTACCGAATACACTGGGACCAGTGGAATCCTTGTAGCAGCAATGAAGAAGAGAACCAGCAGTACTGCAGGAACTCAAGAAGAATAAAATGTAAACGTTTATAGTAAAAACAGCTATAACTAAACAGCCACATGTATGCTTGTATTCTGTCTAATAAAAAAGAGAGAAAGTATCTTTAAAAGGTGATCTGAATTGGGAACATTGGGGACATCCCTTGTGTATTAGTATGACATGATATATCTTTTCAGAGATGCAATAATAGTTCTACGCCATTGGCAATATTCATTTCTTTATTACCCATATTGGAAGGATTAGAATGTATTGACCTTGCTGGTAACTGAACTCACTACTTTGTGATGCTGGAATTCTAAGAAAATAACTTCCCTACCTGAGAAAGATTGAATTAATTATTCAAAGCTTTATTTGTTCAAAGCTTGTAACAGAGGATAGTAAGTAAGTGACCCATGATTGGAACAATCACACAATTACTGAATTTTAAATTCTGAAATATGGTGAATGCTACAGACAAATTCCATCTTGGTCACTGATGGCTGACTTTGTCACAGAAGAGATCTCTAAACATAAATGCTGTCAGTAGTTCATTAAGGCATTATCTGATAATTAGAGCTATCCTTACTAAAGCGTATGTTTCAGATTTCATTGGAAGCAATATTAATAATCTATGTATTTGTTGTGGTTTTGCGCTTGAACTGTATTGGTGGGATGGGAAAGACAGCTCAAACCATTCTGAAGACTTTTTTTTCAGTTCAGATGTAGGATGTTTGAACAAGGAAAAGAGAGTAGCGAGTTTTCTTCATTTCTATTTTTAACGAAATGAAGAGATGGAGAAGTATAAAGTGGTATTTTTCACACAGTGGGAGGGTGAACAAAAAATAAATGCACTTACAAATATATGGAGCTATCAAGAGCTCTACTTCTATGCATGTAACTGGTACAATCCCTGCTTATGGATTTTTGTTGTGTCGCTTTATTCCAGTCGGGTCTATAGATTAAAAAACACACAGATGGACTAATATAGTGTAGGTTGTCTGAATAATATAGTTGAAATATAATTGGATAAGATTGCACTAACATATCATGGAGCCTGTATAGTTGCTCCAAATATGTAGCATGGAGTGGTATAATCCCCACTCTGGGATACTGGTGAGCAAAGCTCATCTCCGTGTGTAGAGTAGTATGCAACAGAACAGAAATAAAAAATATATAGTGCACACTGTAATTCTAGTTAGTACAAATAAATGGAAAATAGGAAGGAGATGATTGGGTTTCTAAAGAGTTTCTAAATGCAAAACAAATATTTAAAAGAGGGATAACATAAGTATAAAAAGATATACTAACAGGGACACGAGGTGAACAAATATGGCGCCAATACCATCACATGATTGTATATTGGTGTGAATGAAGGGCAGCATTACTATAAAAAAAAGGGATGGAATGGACTGCATTCTATGAAACATGGACAAAAAAGTGAACATAAAAACTTTAATACTTAATAAGGGTTCACTCGGGTGTGCCAACATGACCGTGTATTGCAGCATAGCACTTGCAGGAGAAGCACACACAATTGGGGAATCACTAATAAAACCATGTGCAAAAGAAATAGTACAATGTATTTTAAGTGAGAAGTTGAGTAAAAACATTGAAGCTGTGCCACTTTCCAACAACACAGTTTTGCGCCGTATTCATGATCATCTCACTTAAAACTGTGCTAGACAAATCGGTCCAGATTTAATAATTTTATAAAAAGTTGACCATTACAGTCACGACTATTTAAAATTATATGTGAAGATATGGGTAGTCAACACTTTGCTCTGCTTTTGCATTCAGAAGTCCATTGGCTATCACGAGGTAAAGTCCTTGTTAGAATGTTTGAATTATGTCAAGAGTTGTTTGCATATTTCCAGGATCATAAATTTGGATTATCTGATCGATTAACAAACACTCTGTGGTTATCCAAAGTAACATATCTTGCAGACATATTCACAAAATTAAATGACGTATGTTTATCTCTCCAAGGAAAAAACACTAATATTTTTAATGCAAGAGATAAAATATTTTCACTGTCTCGTAAGCTGCAGTTTTGGACCTCATCTGTTGAGCAAAATAATTTGAACTCTTTGCCAACACTTAAGGATTTTCTTTAAGAATCAGAAATCGAACTTGAAGATGCAATTCGCAATGAAATTGTAGATCATCGTCACCATTTAATCACATCTATTAATCAGTATTTTCCATTCTTGAATTAAAAAAATAATGAGTGGGTTCGAAATCCATTCATAAAAGACAAGCCATCCAATTTTTCTGATTTAGATTTTGAGAATCTGCTCGATATAACTTCTGACAGTCAACTAAGCCAAACATTTAAAGAAGTTTCTCTTATTGCTTTTTGGGGTGATTAACGCGAAGAATACCCAGAATTGTCCAAGCGGGCAATCAAAGTTCTGTTGCCATCCACCAGCACGTACTTATGTGAAACTGGATTCTCGCTTTACTCTGCAACAAAAACAAAGTATCGAAATCGACTTGACGCAACTGCAGACATGTGAATACAATTGTCAACAATTAAACCAGATATAAAAGGAATTTGCCAGCAAAAGAGAACATTACACTCTGCCCATTGAAAGGTTTGAGCTAAAAAATGAATTGGGAAACCCTGATCTAAGGTATAAATATATGTACTTAATATTAGGACACAGAGGCAAGATTTTGGAGACAGAGATGCTCCTCCATTTTATTATGACAGAGAGAAGTTGACATGTTCAGGAGGGTATTTTATTCTATTTTAATGATATTGCAAGCATATACTTTAATCTTATAAACTCTGCTATAAATTATTGTAATGGATTTTATATGTCTATATTCATATTTTTATATAATAAAATATTTAAAAAGACAAAACTTTATTGCTTCCAAGACAATCCTTATTTTATATTGTATTCTCAATTATTTATATATTTTAAATAGAGGAACTCTTTTTAACAATATAATTGTTTATGTATCTTTTTTGGTATATCTAATAAAGGATTTATAAGTAAATTCTACTTGTTAGTATATTAGTGTTCATCCTTATCATATAATATGCTTCTACTTCTTCCAGATTGTTGAGAATCTGTGACTTGTTCAAATTCCGTAACTTGAAATCGCCCTATGAACGAATTATGAAAAAAACAAACTGGGCAATGATAAAGCCATCTTGATTGTTTCATATATTCCATCGAAAAAATGGGTGGAATATAGTAGAGGGTAATTTTTTCTTTTGAAGGGGGGGTTTTAAGGGAGCTTATTAAGCGTGTTAATTTGCCATGATGAACAAGAGTTCTGTCTAATAATGTGGTCTGGGAGCTGATGTCGGCGGGGGGCGGAGAGTTCCCCAGCACAGAAAGAGCCCGGCGCTGGATTAAAGTAAGTAGCTGAAGGGGTTTTAACCCCTTCAGCCCAGCGGGAGGCGGGCCCCGAGGGAAAGGGGACCTAATAACTCTAAAGTGCCAGGAAAATGGGTTTGTTTTCCTGGCACTATAGTGCTCCTTTAATCTACATTTAAGTGTGCTGTGAATTAAAGTAGCCTGTTAGTTAATAAAACTCCATTTTAGATTTAGCATTCAATTTGTATAAAGCTTAGATGTTTGCTGTGGAAAATGTCTAGATGTGTTATCGAAGAATTTGTCATATGTTCCTGGCCGAGTGCCAATAAAGTCAAATGACATGCTATACACCCGGCCACAACCATGTCTTAGTCTAATATAAGATGCTCTAATGCTCGCCATCTGCTAATTCATGTTGGTATTTCCCCTACGCCTGGAAAGTGACGTAGGCGGTCCTTAAAATATAAAGGACTTGCTTTTTATAATAATTGTATGAAAATGGTGTGAATTTTGAATACATTTGGAGACTTGACAAGCATCCTTTTCTTCCACGTTATCAGAGTGCCTGTGCCCCCCTCAAAAGCTCTGAGTGTGCTAGCCAGCAATACATCAACGGACTACTGAGGAGACCCCCATAACAGTTAATCAGGGAGACAGACCAGCAGACAGTGATTGCTTTTACTATTGCTGTATCTGTGTGACAGGGAGACAGACAGACTGACTGATAGGGAGACAGACAGACAGACTGACTGATAGGGAGACAGACAGACAGACTGACTGACTGATAGGGAGACAGACAGACAGACTGACTGATAGGGAGACAGACAGACTGACTGACTGATAGGGAGACAGACAGACTGACTGACTGATAGGGAGACAGACAGACTGACTGATAGGGAGACAGACAGACTGACTGATAGGGAGACAGACAGACAGACTGACTGATGAGGGACAGACAGATAGGGAGACAGACAGACTGACTGATAGGGAGACAGACAGACAGACTGACTGATAGGGAGACAGACAGACAGACTGACTGATAGGGAGACAGACAGACTGACTGATAGGGAGACAGACAGACAGACTGACTGATAGGGAGACAGACAGACTGACTGATAGGGAGACAGACAGACTGACTGGGAGACAGACAGACAGACAGGGAGACAGACAGGGAGACAGACAGACA